CTCCCGCCCTCCCAACCCCTCCTGTTACTCCTCCGACGCCTCCTCATCACCACCATTCCCCGTCTCGCCTTCGTCCTCTTTCTCATTCTCGCCTTCTCCTCTTGTTTCTCCAGTTTCTCCATGCAAAACAAGATCCCCAACTCGCGAGACGAGCGAACATCAGGCCCAAAAAGGAGCGGCCTCCTCCACCTGCAGGGCGCAGCAGGCCAATTTCCCCCCCACACTGAGGGAACGGCGCCCCGAGGGTACATTGACCCTGGGACAGGCAGATGAGACAAGACAGCTGGGGGGAACAAGCCCCACTGCCGACCGCCAGTTTTTCAAGCCGCGCACGCCCCGAAGGGCTCAGATAACGGCACCCGCAATGCCGCCCCAAGCCAGCCGAGGGGCGCCACTCCCCCGGCCGACACCCACCCCCACGCACGCACCGGGCGGGACACCCGGGCCGTGGGAAGGACGGGTGGGGATCCCCCAATGAGTCGCCCGCAGGCGACCCGCGTCCCCGCCCAAGCCCTGGCGGGGTACCTGGTGGGCCACCGCAAGGGGGACGCAACGTGGCGACGAGAGCAGCTTTCTCTCCCCCTGGCCCACTGCGGGCAAACAGGTGTGACGATCGGGCTGCAACCCGCCTGTTTTTCTGGGACGCCCGAGGGCACCCTGTGGCATTCTCGCCTTCTCCTTTTCTTTTTCTTCCTCCTCCTCCTCCTCCTCCTCCTCCTCCTCCTCCTCCTCCTCCTCCTATTCCTCTCCCTCCTCCTCCTTTCTCCCCATCTTCTATCCTTCAGGTAAGAAGGCAAGCGGCCCAAGCAGTGGCTGGCAAGGGCCCAGGGCGATGCCTTACCACCACTCTGGCGATTTGGTTTGGGGACGAGGATCCTGGAATCAGTTTAAGGACCCAGCTGGTCCGCTGGTTCGACCTCTGGGACAAGTGTCCCTCCCTCCACCCTCGAATCGTGAAAGCCTGGCCATTGGTGGCCGCGCGTCTCGGGCACGACCCCAAATTTCGGTGGCGGAAAGTCCGAGGGCCTATAGGGCCGTCATCGCCACCCTTAAAGACGGGGGTCGGCGGCCGATTTCTCTCACGGAATGGCGAAGGCCTATCGGGCCAGACACTTTTGAACTTGGCAGTTTCCTGACATTGCTGCTGACCGTGTCGCTGGCGATTTCGACATAGCGGAGTTGGTCAGCGATGTTGCTGAGGATCTCAAAGCTCAGCAGTGGCAGCAGGCTGCAAAACATGAGCACAGCGACGATCTTGTCTCAGGTGCGGACGTGGCGGCCATTCGGTCCCAGCTCCAGCGTTTCCTGAAACGGGATAATTCGATCAGCTTGGTCAGATGGTCACGGTCGCTTCTGGAGGCCAGTGGCATCATCAGAGGCAGCGCGAGCGAGGGTATTTAGTGTCCTTGAAGTGCCCGCGATGCGGGGCCCCAGAGGAGACCCTGTTCCATCGGATTTGGGAGTGCCCTTGCAATAAGGATGACCCCGCCTATGGAAAATCCGAGTATTTGATTTCCCAGGCCCGCGTCGGCCACGAGGCCAACCCGAGTCTCTGGCTGCGCGGGCTCCCGCCTCGCTCTTTCACGTGCCCTACCTTTCGGGACGGGGGGGAGGACGTGGAGTGGGGGGTGGATGATGTGCACGGGGCCGCTCTCGATTGCAGAGAGGACGGCCTTCTTCTTGTCTTCGGTGACGGCTCAGGCGGGCAGTTTAGCAACGATCCTAGTCGCCGAAGGGTGGGCGCGGCCGCGATAACTCTGGCGCCGGCCTCAGGGGGCTGAGTGCGGACCCGCGGCTTTGCCACGACCCTTGGAGGTCGCCGTCAAACGGTGCCCAGAGCCGAGATCCGCGCGCTTGAACTCGCGCTTCGCAGGTTCCCTGGCCCGATACGGTTTGTCACGGACAATGCGGCCCTACATCGAGGGTGGCATTCCAGAAGGCACGAGAATTGTAAAGGCCCCAACTCGGACCTCTGGTTTCGTGTCCGTGCCGCGTTGGCCGAGAGAGGAGATGGTGAAGTCCAAGTCGTGTGGTACCAGTCGCACGTTGACCCTGAGGACCCCGCCCTCTCCGCTTAGGAGCGTTTGTATGCCACGGGCAATGGCTTTGCCGACACTCTGGCGGGGGATGCGGCCAAGTTTTCCTGGACCCATGGCCTGCAGGGCCAAAGCCCCCCCTGGGGGGCCAAGTTTTCCTGAACCCTGTGGGATTGCACGGCGGCGCTGGTTAGGCGCCGCGCGGCCAAGGCCATGGTGGACTCCATCAGTGTCGCCCCCTGGACCGCCGAGCGGCCTCCTGAGGCTCGTCGGGTTGAGGGCCTCACCGAGGCCTTGGTTCGTAGCGAGCACTGTTGGTCAGGGCCGAACGTAAGTGGCTGTGCTCGTTGTGTCACCAAGTCGTGCCCGTGCATAATATTGTTGCTTTTGCAGCAACGCCGTGTCAAGCGGCAAGCCAGGACCTTTCGAGTCTTGCCGATCATGGGATGGTGCGGGCCAATGGGGCGGTTACTGTGGGGGGGAAGGTTTGTCACTCCTCGCAAATTCTGCACGTCTGGCCCAAGTTTGGGCTGCATTTTTGTTTGACGTGCGGTAAAACTGCCACGGAGGACCCACGTCATTTAGTTGCCGAATGCAAGGCCCGTACCAAGAAAGGTGCTGAAAACCTTCAACGAATTCAAGAGGGGCTTTTTCCCAGTCACGCGGGGCCGTCCAAGACGACCAAGGCCCGTGAGCTAGGCATTGTCAGGCGCGAGGTCGTCCTCCGTGGCCCGCCGCCTGGTGCGCTTGCTGATCGCTGAGCTCGCTGCCACCCCGTGGATGTCAGCGAATTCCAAAGAATTCCTCGTCCTCCTCGTCCTCATCCTCATCCTCATCGTCATCGTCGCAGTAGTCATCGTAGTCGTGTTCCTCCGACTCCGCCTCCGCTTGGTGCCTGATGGCATGAGGTCCCTGCGAGTGCTGCCATTGTTCCTCCACCTCCTCCTCCTCCTCCTCCTCCTCCTTCTTCTGTTCCTCCACCTCCTCCTCATCCTCCTCATCCTCATCCTCCTCCTCATCCTCCTCCTCCTCCTCCTCCTTCATTCCTTGTCATTGTAGAAAACTTCTCCCTATCGCACCCCGAAGCCAGCTTTTAGGGGGGACCGGGCGCTTCGCCTGAAACATCCTCACCATGTATGACGCTGAAGCTTCAACAATAACAACCGTTTCACATGTGGCTCTCGCCTCAGCGCCGCGCACCGTCGTTTTTTTACAATTTGTAGGATTGAGGGCGACTGGTTTTCAAAATGTGGCTCTCCCCTGAGCGCCGCGATCATTCGTTTCAAACATTTGCAAGAGTTTCACGGGTTCCCATGATCAGCGTACCAGACATGGTGTTTTGGAAGAATGCAGGGTTGAGGGGGCAACAGTTACGTTGATTCGCGGCGTTGAAGTCCCAGGGATGGCATTCTGGCACGATACAGGATCGCCAAGACGCAACACTCAAGTTGATCCGTTGCGCTGGAATCCCGAAAAAATGCTTTGACATGCGTCAGGGCCTTCAAACGGCTATTTTCCAATAAGGCAGTTCCCTCAGAGGAAATGACCGTTGTAGGGGCCCATGAAGAAGGAGCTTGGAGGGAGGGTTGAATCCCACATCGTTGATGACTCTTGGGTTTACACTGGTCCTCGTCCTCCTCCTCCTCCTCCTCCTCCTCCTCCTCCTCCTCCTCCTCCTCCTCCTCCTCCTCCTCCCTCCTCCTCCTCCTCCTCCTCCTCCTCCTCCTCCTCCTCCTCCCTCCTCCCCCACCTCCCTACTCTCCCTCCTCCCCCACCCCCCGTCCTCTTCCCCTCCTCCTCCTCCTCCTCCTCCTCCTCCTCCTCCTCCTCCTCCTCCTCCTCCTCCTCCTCCTCCTCCTCATCCTCCTCCTCCTCCGCCTCCTCCTCCTCCCCCCCCTCCTCCTCTTCCTCCTCCCCCTCCTCCTCCTCATCCTCCTCCTTCGCCTCCTCCGCCTCATAATCCTCCTCCTCCTCCTCCTCCTCCTCCTCCTCCTCCACCTCCTTCTCATCATCATCATCATCATCATCATCATCATCATCATCATCATCATCATCATCAGCAGCAGCATCATCATCAGCAGCATCATCATCATCATCAGCAGCAGCATCACATCACCATCAACAGCATCATCATCATCATCAGCATCATCATCAGCATCATCATCAGCATCATCATCATCATCATCATCACCACCACCACCACCACCACCATCATCATCATCATCATCATCATCATCATCATCATCATCGTCAGTTTCAGCATAGTCATGATCATGAGCATCATCGTCATCAGCATCAACACCATCATCGGAAGCATAATCAGCAGTACCATCATCATCAGCAACCGCCGTAACATCATCATCCGCATCAACATCACCATCATCAGCATTATCAGCAGCAGCAGCATCGTTATCATCGTCACATCATCATCAGCAGCATCATCATCAACATAATCAGTATCACCAGCTTCAGCATCATCATCATCAGCATGATCATCAGCAGCAGCATCATCTGCATCGTCATCAGCATCAGCAGCATCACCGTATTCAGCATCATCACTATCATCAGACGCAGCAGCATCAGCACCCGCATCAGCATCATCAGCATCATCATCAGCAGCATCAGCAGTGTCAGCAGCATCAGCAGACATCCGCATCAGCAGCATCAGCATCGGCATCATTATAATCAGCATCATCAGCAGCAGCATCATCAGTATCATCGTAATCACCATCATCAGTATCATCGTCAGCAGCATCATCATCATGTTCATCAGTATCATCATCAGCAGCAGCATCAGCATCAGCAGTAGCAGCATCGGCATCAGCATCATCACCATCATTAGCATCATCATCACCATCATCATCATCAGCATCACCATCATCATCAACATCAGCAGCATCAGCAGCATCATCATCGTCGTTATCGGCAGCAGCAGCAGCAGCATCATCCCTCCCCTTCCTTCCTCCCTCCTCACGCCACCACGGCCACGGCGCGCGCGGCGCGCCCACGAGGGAGGAGGCCGTCCGCGCGCGGGGCGGGCTCGACTTCGGCCCCGCGGCGGGCGCGGCCAGTGCTACCGCCGCCAGCGCGCGGGCCCGCGCCACACCTGGCCGGGGCGGCGCTCCCGGGAGGAGCGAGAGGCGGCACGAGCACCCCTGACAGGCGCACCCCCCCAGCGAGGAGGTCCGCAGTGCCTCCCCGAGACACACCGAGGACACCGAGCACCAGCGCCACCACGCAGGCCACGAGGGCACTCCCCGGCTCTCGGGGGAGTGCCCTCGTGGTGGCGTGGTGTCGCTACTCTTCGGGCCCGCGGGCTCTGCACACCACCTCGGTTTTCGAGGCTCTTCCTGCCCCTCCTCGTGCTGCTCATCACCCTGCTCTTCCCCTGCTCTTCCTCCTGCCTTGGCAGTCCTGGTCCTCCTGCTCTTCCTCCTGCTGCTCATCACCCTCATCGTTCCTTTCCTCATCTCCACCCCGCGTCGGCTGGACCTGCTCCTCCTCCTCCTCCTCCTCCTCCTCCTCCTCCTCCTCCTCCTCCTCCTCCTCCTCCTCTCATCACCTTCTCCTCCTCCTCCTCCTCCTCCTCCTCCTCTCCTTCTCGACGTTCTCCCCGCCCTGTGCTCATGCTCGAAATAAGAATCCTCCTCCTCCTCCTCCTCCTCCTCCTCCTCCTCCTCCTCCTCCTCCTCTTCATCACCATCATCAGAAGTATCATCGTCATCAAAATCAGCATCATCATCAGCAGCATCGTCAGCATCAAAAGTAGAATCAGCAGCATCATAATCATCATCACCATCATCATTGTCACCATCAGCAGCAGCAGCAGCATCAGCCTCGTCATTGTCATCATCAGCATTATCGTCGTCATCGTCGTCATCATCAGCAGCATCATCATCATCAGCAGCAGCATCATCGCAATCATGATCACAATCATCATAAGCATCGTCAGTAGCATCATCAGCAGCATCAGCATCATCAGCATAAGCGAAATCACCCTCATCCTCATTATCAGCATTATCATCAGCATCATCATTGCAATCAACAACAGCATCTTCGTAGTCGTGGCCATCGTCATCAGCCTTATCATCACCATTAGCATCATCAGCATCATAGTCAGCAGCATGATCATCAGCATCGCCAGCATCATGAGCATCATCAGATCCATAATCAGCATCACACTCACAGTCAACGGCATCAATACCATCACCATCATCAGCATCAACATCGGCACTAACGTTGTTCGCATCATCAGCATCACGGCTCTCAAGCACGCGCGTAGTCATCCTCATCTTCCACGTCAGCACACTGTCCAGCATAATCACGTCACGTTCCTGATGCTTATAATCCTGCTCGCATTCCCATCGACATCGCCAGCATCATCATTATCATCATCGTCAGCAGCAGCAGCAGCGTCAGCATCAACATCATCATCATCATCAGCATCATCATCATCATCAGCAACATCAGTATGAACATCATCCTGCTTACCGAAACCGCCTCCCAGATCATCAGCAGCAACATCAGCATCATCAGAATCATCAGCAGTATCATGAGCAGCATCATCATCAGCAGCAGCAACATCCTCATCATTAATATCAGCATCATCATGCTCATCATCATCAGTATCAGCAGCAGGAGCACCACCACCGACAACAACATCATCATCATCGTCCACCAACGGCCACCTGCTTATCATCTTGCATGCTCTCTTCTTCATCCTCCAGCTCCTCCTCATGCTCCTGCTCCTGCTCCTGCTCCTCCTCCTCCTCCTCCTCCTCCTCCCCCTCCACCTCCTCATTCTCCCCGTCCACAGCTCATCCTGCCCGGACTTACGAAAATTGTTCCAGCCCACGGGTCGTCTTCCTCCCTGGTCTGTATGTCGTTTCCCTCCACTTCGGGTGAATCCCTCTGTCTGTATGTACGCCGATGAATCCCTCTCCTCCCCCCCTCCTTCTCCCCCACCCCCCTCCCTAATCCTCACCCTCATCTCGTCCCTCTTCTCCTCCTCCTCCTCCTCCTCCTCCTCCTCCTCCCTCCTCCTCCTCCTCCTCCTCATCCTCCTCCTCCTTTTTCTCCTCCGCCTCATCCTCCTCCTCCTCCGCCTCCTCCTCCTACTCTCCTCCGCATCCGCCTCCTCCTCCTCATCATCCTCCTCCTCCTCCCCCTCCTCCTCCCCCTGACCCCCTCATTATCCTGATTCATCCTTCTCGCCGCCACGCCTCCTCATTATACTCCCCCTCCTCCTCCTCCTCCTCCTCCTCCTCCTCCTCCCCTCCTCCTTCCTCCTCCTCCTCCTCCTCCTCCTCCACCTCCTCTTCCTCATCGTCCTCCTGCTCCTCCTCATCCTCCTCCTCCCTCCTCCCTCCTCTCCCTTCTCCCCCTCCTCCTCCTCATCCTCCTCCTCCTCCTCCTCCCCTCCTCCTCCTCCTCCTCCTCCTCCTCCTCATCCTCCTCCTCCTCCTCCACCTCATCCTCCTCCTCCTTGTTCTCCTCCGCCTCATCCTCCTCCTCCGCCTCATCCTCCTCCTGCTCCTCCTCCTCCTCCTCCTCCTCCTCCTCCTCCTCCTCCTCCATCTCCCTCCTCCCCCTTTTCCTGTGAGGGGGAACAGAAACGGAGAAGCAGGAGACAGAGGAGGAGGAGAAAGGGGGAAGGACAGGGGAGGGAGGGGGAAGAAGGGGGAAAAGGGGGGGGGGCAAGGAGTGAAGACGAGGGAGGAGGAAGAACAAGGCAGGATCGGATTGGATCGGAATGAGGGTTCATCGTCAGTCTGTAACGCAGCGCAAACATGGAACGCACCAGGCGCGACACATGTGCGACGAAAAGCTGCGGGCGAGTGCCCCTGACCCAGGCGCGACACAACACCTAGTGCGAATGACGGCCGCACCGTATTAAAAGCCTCCGGGAGCATGGCAGGGAGGAAAGCGTGGAAGGCTCGAAGGCCTGGCTGGCGCAAGCCAACCCAACCGGAAGGAAGGAACACGGAACAGAGAGGCCTGAGACAGCACAATGAGCATGAGGCTACCGCCAGGACTGCCGCCCCTGCAAACGGCAACTGAACAATCCGAATGTTGCAACGCAGATGCGGACAGTCAACACTGAACCACTAGAAGCGGCCACGACTGCACCAGAAAGAGGCCTCGCCAGAGCGAAGACTGGTTGTGCGCAGGTAACGATCGCAAGAGTCACAGCATGCACGTCGACGCCAAGGGCGAAGGTAGAGAACCAGAGGGGCAGCAGGCAGGAACGCGCCCCCAACTGAAAAGCAACTTTGGGCGACAGCGGTGCCCGAGGCACCACGTGCAGCAGTACAAGCTGTGAGGCAAGCGCACGGCAAAATACTCACTACACGTCTGTCGGAAGAAGTAGGTAAAAATATGAAGTAGGAAGGCGGATTAAGTGGATCGGGACCAGGCCCTCCCAGAGAATAACAAAACACAGCAAAAGCATGTCGATTCTTAGGATCTGAGAATCCAAAAATACCCACAATTGGCACTGCCTGTTTGCATGAGAGGCTCCGGCCACAAGGGAAAGAGAGGCTGCACACAACAGAGCGCAATAGGATCAAAGCGAATATTGGCTGGGCGCCCAAGGGGGGACGGCCCACAAGCAGAGAAGCTGGACAGACCTACAGCACGCCAGATCATCCACACTGCAAATAGCGCCACGAAGGAGAGTCCATCATGCGTGGGCAAGCTTGCTCATAGCAATCACCTGGCTCTGCTGCCACGCACAGGAAAAACTGTCGAGAAGCCCCTGCGATCTGCGACCGGACCAGGATATCCGAGAGCATCCTCATCTTGTGGAGGAGAGCCCCCGATACAACGAGCACGGCACCTGAAACTTGCCACCTGCCCTGCAAGTCTCAGCACGCCGCCAGCCTCCATCATGGGCCATGGACCCGAAGGAGTGGCGCGCCGGCGGCCGCATCGGAACGCGCCTGGCACAGTGGAACCACCCACTGCTCGTACGCGACCACGGGTCGGAGATCCCTTCTTGCACGACTTGCGAGGTGGGAGGCTGCACAATGCTAATCGGGGATGGACAGACCCCCCTTTAGCAAAACGTGGTTTAGTGAAAAAGACCTGAGGCCCAAACCTGGTGGGCGGAAGGCTGGAAAATAACGGCCACGGCGCCCTCTCGAGAACCGAAAACGGACAATTCACTAATCGACGTGTCACTGTTGGGGGTTCTGTCCACCCCCGAGCTAAGGCTCTCACTCTCATTCCGCCGCGGCTGCCGAGCAGGGGGCTGGGAAGCACCGCGCGCGGGCAAGGGAGGCCTCTCGTGATGTGGCAGCGAGCCGAGGTGCAGGGCACTCTCGTCGTCCTGGGCAGGTCCAGCACGCCTGGCCTCGAGGCACGCATGTTTGCCCCCGTCACGCAACTCCTGGCGAGCCTTCGAGTTAGCGACGTGCAAGTCTGACACCCGATGCTCCTCAAATCGGAAAAGCAGCACGCTCCGTTACACAACACCGGGGCTGTTCATCGGCATCCCTGCCAGGCAACGCAGCTTGCATGTCTAGCTGCGCTTGCTCCAGCTCATCTGCACCAGCCTCGAGGGCCCGGATGTCGGCTCCACCCTGTGGCGAGGGGATCTGGAGCGCGACTGGGGGCAGCCCACTGGGACAGGAGCAGGGGAAGGCTGAGACCGCAAGATCTGTCGCGTATCGCCAGAACTTGCCTGCCCGCGGTCAGCACTGCGGGGGCGTCTCATTGAGGCAGGCAGGGGAGCGTCACCTCCAACAGAACGCTGGCTCCTGGGGGCACGAGTGTCGCGGGCAGCACTGACTGTGTCAGATGTCGGACGACGCCAACGGCAAAGGCGATGTGCAACCGGTGGCCTTTCGGCACGGGAGGGCTTGGCCTTGGAGACCACGGAGCCTAAGCCACCAGGCGGCGACAAAGGAGCAGGCGACGAAGAAGCAGGGCCATCTCTGGAGACATGTAAGCTGCTCGTATCAAGCGGAGGCGGTGGAAGCACGAGGATGCCCGCTGCCCCCTGCGTCGTGTCCTTCAGCTACACGCTCAGCCGCGGGTGGTGCGGGCGGCGGCGGGTGACGGGGCAGAGGAAGCGCAGCACTCTGCCACACTGAGGGCGGCGGCGCACGCGTCGGCGGCGCCCTACATTGCCAGATTGGGAGAGGAACAACGCCGGGCCAAGCTGGCACCCCAGGTCGACAAGGGCGGAGGAGGCAAGGGGAAGCCTCCGCCTCGCGCCCAATCCATGGCGTCGCGGTCAATCGCCCTCGCAAGTGGCACGCTGGGCCCGAGCCGTGCGCGTGTGAGGGGTAAGGCAAAACGGCTGCGGCTACGGCCCGAGCCTAAGCAGGGGAGAAGGGAGGGAGGCGGAGAAGAAAAGATGACGTGACGAGGGGGGAGAGGGAGGAGGAGGAGGAGGAGGAGGAGGAGGAGGAGGAGGAGGAGGAGGAGGAGAGGAGGAGGAGGAGGAGGAGGAGGGGAGGAGAGGAGGAGGGAGGGAGGGGAGGGGGGGAGGGAGGGAAGGGAGGAGGGGAGGGAGGGGAGAGGGAAGGAGGGAGGAGGAGAGGAGGAGAGGAGGACGAGAAGGAGGAGGAAGAGGAGGAGGGGGAGGAGGAAGAGGAGGAGGAGGAGTAGGAGGAGCAGGAGGAGGCGCAGGAGGAACGCGAGGGGAAGAAGAAGCCGGCGAAGCCCGCGGAGTGCCCGGCGGGCCGCGGCGGCGAGCCTTGCCGGGAACCACGGCGAGCGGCAGGAGCTGCGGGAAGCTGAGCTTGCCGCGGCCGTGGTGGCGGGGGGGGCCCAGGCCGGCCACCTTCGGGAGAAGGAGGAGGAGGAGGACGAGGAGGAGGAGCTGCAGACAGGGGCGAGCTGTACGCTGTGCACGTGGCGGTGCGAGGAGGTGTCGGACACGCGGCCTTTCGGCTCAGACAATGCTGCTTGCTGGTACACTGGTCGCCCGCAGCCCCCGCAGGAGAAAATGCTGACCTTTGGTGTATGGTAGGAGCGTCACTTAAGAATAAGGTTTCTCATTTTCCGTTTACATGCATTTTGCGCGCACTCGCACCAGGAAGCAGTAGACATCCTCCAGTGTAATGCGTCAGCCCTAGCTACGACGAGCTTCAGTAGACATCCTCCAGGGAATGCAGTAGCCGACGAGCTAATACTACAGCAGCTACTGTTCGCATCGAGGCTCCCGTTCGTGCAAGCATACATCAAGTTGAGCGAATGGCGTATATTATGATACGTAATCCGCCGATCCGGCGTGTGAGTTTAAGAAGTCTAAGGTGAAGTTCTGCTTCAGCATGAGCTTCAGCTCTGCTTGGGAGGGGGGGAGGGGGGGGG